ATATACCTACACTAAAACCCGTCTCTGCTTCCTGCCACGCGGACTTTGGGGAAATTAGCCATCAGCTGTAACCAATCCATGGGAAAACCAGCTGGCAGCCTCCCTGGCTCGCAAACATAACTTGCAAAGAGAAAAAAAAGAATCATGTTTGTGCCCTTTTTTGCTTATCACTGATGCCTTAAGGCAGCCAGAAAGGGTTTGTTTTATAAAGACTCTCCTCTTCCCTACTCATTTTTATATGGGACCTGTGCCTCACACAATGGAAGTCTTTATCTGATTGGGATCTTTGGGCACTCCTAAGGCGAGTATAAAATACTTAAAAAGCAACATTACATTATTTAAACATGATTTAATTCAATTAAATCATCATTAGAAATTTAGGTCTTGCCTACCATATTTTTTATTACAGGCTCCCTGGCTGGCTGGAGAACGAAGGCCTGGTGGTGGCCAAACCATCACATAGGTGAAACCTCCTTTAATTGAGAGGGGAGTCATTTTGGTTCAGACAGATGTAAATTTGTTGCCTGAGTCTCTCTGCAGTGCTGCTACCACATGGGCTTGTTTTGCGAGTCTTGCCATAGATGACACTTGTTTTAAGCCCCCAGCTGCGGGAATGAGGGAATGCATCAGAATCGCAGCTTTCGTATTTAAGAAGGAAACTTGCTTCTAGTTCTCACGGATGCTGTGAAATGCTTGGAAACACGAAGCAAGTGCGACCTAAAGGCTTAGAAGAGAAGGGGTCCATTAAAAGGACCTCCTACCTATATTATTTTTAAACAGTCTCATTAAGTTTTGAGTCGTGGCTCACAGCTGCTGAGCACCTGAGGTTAATAATGCCTATTCTTCCCTCCTGGTTAAGGGCAGAGAAAATCCCAGTTCACATCTGTGATCTCCACCCAGCCCTGGGATGGATGTTCAGGGGACTTCACAGGTAAAAAATGAGCAGAAAAAGTTATCCCCCACCCAAGTCAAGCCTCACTTGCCCATGATGATGAAGCAAGACGTTGCACAGACCCAGGCCTGCAGTTGGGTTGGTTGTTTCTCAGCCACCTATTATTATTTTTAATCATAGAATCAATCAGACGACAGAAGGAGCAATGGGCTCAAGCTGCAGCAAGGGAAGTTGAGGTCAGATATTAGGAAAAACTTTCTCACTACGAGGGTGGTGAAGCACTGGGATGGGTTGAGGTGGTGGCGTCTCCATCCTTGGAGGTTTTTAAGTCCTGGCTCGACAAAGCCCAGGCTGGGATTCATAAATTCATAGATTGCAAGGGGCTGGAAGGGACCTCGCAGATCATCGGGTCCAGCCCCCTTGCTCTAGGCAGGAAGACAACTGGGGTTAGGTGACCCCAGCGAGGTGACCATCTAGTCTCCTCTTGAAAACCTCCAGGGTAGGTGATGATCTAGTTGGGGCTGGTCCAGCTTTGAGTAGGAGGTTGGACTAGACTAGATGCCCTCCCGAGGTCCCTGGCAACCCTCACGGAGCTGGCAGGGAGCTCCAGAGATCACATCTAGTCCAACCCCTGCCTCAGGCAGCATCAGCCCCATCTGAACAGCCCTGCCCCGCACTCTCGTCCACCCGCACATCAGCCACGAAGAATGCCTGCCCTACTAGGCTGCGTCCACAGCTCCTCGGGTCCGATTTCTGTACTCCACCCTCCTCCCATGAGCCACTGGGGACCTCAGCTGGCTCCTCCATGGAGCTGTCACCAGGGGCGTGTATGTGGCGAGCTTCACGGACCCCCCGGTCTCCTGCCCCTTCTGCAGGCAAAGGGAGACGCGGGCGCACCAGGCTGCAGCACCTCCACATCCACCTCCAGAATCTGCTCCCGGGGGTCTGGTTGAATTTCACCCCCACCTTTTTGTTCCTGGTTGCCCCACCAAGTCCCGGGACCTCCTGGCCCCGTACTTGACCAGGAAGGATGCTGTCCTCTCCCTCGTCCGTGCACGCTTCGGATGCCTTCGAGGACTGCCTGGTGTCCCCCTCCGGAGAGCTGCTTTTCACGTTGGAAACCTTTGACCCCACCATGTCACCCCTACCCTTTCCTTCCTCAGCTGTTCCACAAACAGGATAATAATAATAATAATAATAATACATAAATCTATCCTTCAAGCCCGTGGGAGCGGTGGAAGAGACAAGCAGGCGGGTCTGCAAGAAGCCCCAGGGGCAGGGGCTGCTCGCTGCGCTGGGCTCCTGCACCCGGGCCGGGGCCGGGGAGAGGCGGCGCCGGGCGGGGGCGGAGGCGGCTCCTCCCGGGCACATAAGGCCGTCCCGGGGCAAGGCAAGGCAAGGCAGCGCAGCCATGGCGTCCTGCCGGGACTGGTGCTACAGCCTGCTCTTCGAGGAC